GCGGATGCAGGCCGGTAAGCCGGCACAAAAGCAGTAGGAGCAGTTGTAGAAGCGGGGAGCATGCTGTCATCTCGAGCCCCACGAAACAGGGGTTGCAGCTCAGGCCGCTGCCGCCACAACGTATTCGCCACAGAAAGTACTTCATGCACTCCCGAAGCAGACAAAATGGCTCGTGATGGGNGAGGCGGATTGCCCTCAACCTGGGGGCACGCAGATAGCTAAGTCCCGATGGGGTACGTCCTAAGAGGGTATACCTCCTGACGTCCCCCATCTTAATTTAGACCGACTGTGTACCCTATCTGTGCCATACAGCAACACTCCTTAACACTACGCACATCCACGCATATCCTGTCAATTTGGTCCTGCTCTGTCAGGCACGGTTGCGTCTCGGGTGAACACCACCACCCTAACTTGCTGCATCGACTGCAGTGACCAAGCGAAACAACAGCATTGGCGTATACCTGCCCCTCCCTTTCCGCGCTGCTCGTCTCCCTCGTCTGACCCATGAAAAACAAGCAAACAAATTTTGATGCTGTCGAACGAGTACTGGACGTTGAGTTGAATTTGTTTGGATCTATCTGCAATAGTAGCCGAAGGGCAAATGAAACAATACAAAACACGAATAATCTTTGTAAATACAGTGTTTGAACAGTTTTGTTTCAGCTTATCAGGTTATTACGTGTAGAAGCATCACAGCCTAGGAAAAATATGGTATACATCTTGCGAAAGAGTAGTGGACGATGAGTTGAAGCTACTTGATCTTTGTGCAATTGTCTGAGGGCACACGAAAAAAATACACTCCAAATAAGTTTGAAATTTGTGATGTCATACCGACTTGTTGTTTCAATTGTATTGCTTTCTCGAGGAAATCCGTTGACAGCTGGGATGGCAACGCACACGTTGAGCCCGTGGTCAGTGTGCTTCGTTTTGGGATGATGTTGATCGAGCATTCGACAATTACATATCGATTGTTCCTTGACCCCGACAAAAGTCACGCAGGTATGTTCCAATGCCGGGGGTAACGTTTCTCGTCATTGCGACTTCTGGTCGTGTGCAGGGATGTACGCGAAAACCCAGGCCTGCAGTGCCTCTCCACTGTGCCACCGACGGCGGTCAGGTAAGAATTTTTGTCGCCGCGTACCTTCATTTTTGGATTCGTTTGTTTGTTGGTTCAGCACGAGCAACAAGTCGACATGTAGATTACCTTTCTTGTTTCCCTCTCGACGCAACTTGATACGCGTAACGAAGTCTTAGAGTTCACGTACCTTGCCGGATTTTTCGATCATACGGTGGGAACTGACATAGATAGATATAAGTTCGACGTACTGTGTGTTAGGCTGCACTTCCGTATGGTTGGATTGCCTGCGCATCCACACATGTGTGTCGAAGGTTTGAGCATTTCAGGATTCAAATTGCACCTCTTCATGCTAGCTTCTTAGCTGTATGCATGGACGCAATGCCGACGGCGTGATATTTCCACAAGGTCGCTCACAAACCAACGCATGTGCACAAATTGGTCTATGTAGACTACTGTACGTGTTAGATGCGCCTTTCACGACATCATCGATGAAAGAACAGAAATTTTCCGTTGTCCCGACACAAGCACCTTTCCTCTGCGGCTTGCTCCGTTTGCCTCCTCGCAGTCAACTGAGGGTCGACACGGTCGGCACTGAATGCGGTGAGTGAGTATGTTCCAAGAGCGATCGGACGAAAGGAGGAACAAAAGTTCTGGGTGAAACCTCGCACAATACTTCACTACACTGCAATTCATTCGTCCTCAAAATACACGTGGATTGGGTGAAATTACGAGCTGTTCGGCCTGCGGCACGCGCTTCGCGGCGTGTCAATATTTGAATGCGTCATGATACAATTCTTGTGCATCTGCGCGTGTGTGTAACTGCAGGGTGTTTCCTCCCCGATGTAAGCAAACCGTGTGGCGAAAACGAGGCATGCTCGCCTGGTGCCACAGGATTCACGTGTGGTAAGAGAATTTCATGTGAATACCTGGCAATCCGCTCGCTGATGTCGTCGATTGTACATCCCCATCAAGCAATTGTCAACTCTAGTGCCGTCTCCAGGTATATAGTTGTCCCTTCCTTACACGACGCATGCGGGCCATCGGCCACAATCCGGAACGAGTGGTTACAACGGGGTTCTTCCCAACCCAAGTGACAATATGATGGTGCAAAACAAAAGCGCAACATTGCCCTGATAACCCACACGCTCAAGCAGAACATTATTGTGGACGATGTCGTGTTACTCTGTTCTTCGTAGGATACGAACTGTTCATTTTCTCTCCACGCTTAACCTTTCAGTGGTCAAGCACGCCGTTGGGTATGGAAGTGGTGTTGCTATTCCCAATCCTCGCGTGTTTGACATTTCACTCGAACTCACCAGCATCCGTTGCGGATCTGACATAGTCTCTACTGTAGTTCATAATGGCATGGCAACCGGTCTCGGTAAGGAAACCGATGGGCCGGAAAAGTGCAACCTCGTTGGCCGCGTTGTACACAGCAGCAGGATTAGAGATCGAAATCGGGATCTATCTGGTACAAGACGCAATGGATGGTCGCTAGATGTAGTCTAATGTACCTCTGGTGGCACTGATGATCGATACCCTACACCACTTGAACACGTGGTATGTGTACCTCTCCTGCGAAACAAGGGCGATGATCAATGTACCAGAAGCCAACATAATAACTCGGCACGGCTGTTTGGGACAACGTTGTCCCAAATTTTTATTTGGGACAACACGTCTAACTCGGCGTAGAAAGCTCGGATCGACCTCAAACCAAGTTTGTTGTAATCCTACTGGACACAGCTTTCACGGAATGTATTTTGAGTCCACAACGGAGCCGGGGCCGAGGAGATAGAGCCTAAAAAAGGGGCTCCGTGGCTTCGGTAAATCCACGTTTTCCTCCATTACTCGGCCCAACCACCTCCGAAACACCCCCAAAGACCTTTGTTGTGCTTATATGATCCACAGCTATCATCCAAGCCATCGGGTGGCCTTACCCGACCTGTACATGCGGAAATATGCCCTCCAAAGGGGCATCGCAGGATTATTGGAAGGTGTCCTGTACATATCCGCGTCGTTACATCGATGCCCACGCCCCGCCAAGATGGGAAAGGGCCTGAGATGAAGTTGACCGGCTCCCAGCTTTCATTCAAGCCCTTCCTTACATAGCCTCGACCGACATGTGGTTGCCGAGATACACCCTCGCAAGGGGGCACGGCGACCCCAACAGGGGTTGTCCCAAATTCCAAATTTGGGACAACACCCCACATCGTCTCCCAAGCGTCTCGGCGGCAGCCGCAACAACTACCGAAGTCATTCCACGGCTCCCAGCTTTCATTCAAGCCATCACATCGCCTCGACCGGCACGTGGTTGCCGAGATACACCCTCGCAAGGGGGCACGGCGACCCCAACAGGGGTTGTCCCAAAGTTGCAAATTTGGGACAACACCCCATATCGTCTCCCAAACGTCTTGTCGGCAGCCGCAACAACTACCACAGTCACGCCACGGCTCCCAGCTTTCATTCAAGCCATCACATCACCTCAACCGGGATGTGGATGCCGACCCTATCGCGGCGCTCAACAATGGTACCGAAAATGTGGTGTCCAAAATGCTCGGAAAATCCCTGGCGATCATCGCTCACACGACCCACGAAGAAGGCGCTGAACAACCAGCACTGTCATCTTGTACTGGAGTCACGCACCCCTCAACTAGGATAGAGGCAATGACGTCAATTGAATGACGTAGCCTGAAGCAACTCCCCACGCACGAGGAAATGGCGCCAGAGCAGGGGGTCCGCAGGCAGGAGGCGCGGGTGTGGTCCGCCGTGAAACAATTCCGTGCCTCGTCGGCCTCGGTCCCAGACCGCGCTACGCCGACGAAGGTGTACATCGATCGGAATGAATTCTCGGTCTAGCCTGGAGAAGCCGGGGAACCCTCAGCAGGCCGCGCTCGGTGACTTGAGGTCGCTGTTGGGTGCTGTCGTGCGGAAACCTCGCGGGGACGCCCATGGCATCGCAGTTGACCATCCAGCTGTGGCGGAGGCCAAACGTCGCGCCCTACAGAAAGGTGGCCCCTTCGACCATTTCCCTCTACCTTCACCGTCCCAGGTGTGTGCATACAACGGGGGTACATGGTATAGGGACCGCACAACTTAATAGGCTTGAGTCCGGAAGCTGGCCCTAGTGCACCGCGGGTTCCAAAATGGTTCGGAAATCGATTCAAATTCGATTCAAATTCCGTTCAAATTTCGGGCAAATTTAGCGGCGCCGTTCATGTCGTTCATGCTTCGCGTTCGTGTTAGCCTACATGTCCGCCTGCGTATATATGCTGCGCAATGCAACAGTACGAGACTATTTGTTACCTCATTTCCACGGCGACGATTTGAACAACTTCGAAGATGCCCCCGAGTAGCAGCTCTAGGGTTAGGGTTAGGTGATTTCTCGGTTTGTACGTGCGCTACTCAGGCAGGCTACCCTCTAATGGTGCTGATGAAACTTAGGACATGGAATCAATATGCGCATGAAGTACAGTTAGGGGTTAGCGCCATCCGTACGTCGAAGATGCTGATGGGGGAAAAGTGCCTGGGCTAGATACGCACGAAGACAAGTTTGACGATGCTGTACGAGTGTACGGTTCCTGTCCATCCATCACGCACCGCTTCCCCCATGTTTCTGTCGTACCTGACCATGGATGTTCGGAACTACGCAGACGGACCGAGAGCTGTTGGAAAAAGGAGCGGAACAGTGCCACTTCACCTCCGCCATTCTTCGCGGTATCAATCACGAAGATGGGCGTGAGGCAGGCACTCCCTATCTTACGGATGGAGACGGCAACTGCTTGTTGAACGCCGTGGCCATGCTGCTCGTGAAGAAGCAACCACGTGGGGTCAGGAACGCCGTGAAGACGATGGCAGCTCAGCTCCGGCTGGGGATTGTCGTGGAAGGCTTGCGCAACATCGAGGTGTACCTCGATCGCAAGTATGAGTTCTACGGCACGTGGTACAACTATGTGGATCAGTTGGTGTTCGACCTGAAGAGGTGTGGCTGGGTGGTGGACGCAATGCCGGAGAACCGTTGGCGAATGGCGTCGCGTGACTGCGCACGGCTGGTGTTCTTAGGATGTCTGCACCATGCACGGGGGTCACCCGATAATGGCGGCAAACCTGCCGGCGTGAGGGCGCATGCGAAAATTTCGCGAAGCTACGTGTGATTTCTTGTTGACGGCGTGTTGGAATTCCTCGCGTGCGTGTCGGTTGCATGCCATAATTCGCAGTCACCAGCGTCCAGAACGTCAACGGTGGAGAGTGGCAGTGGACCCTGTTCCAACCGCTGGTCGCACCGGACCCGGGACGTCAGACCGTTCATGTTGTTATGACGTATGTTTCGAGCGCGGACTACAGACCCCAGTTCAGCGACGCCCACGAGTACAAACGTCTCAACGGTGGCCGCATCAGGGAGTTGAACCACTTCGTGGCTCTGTCTCACGACAACACCGCGAAGTATCACGAAACTGCTGTCACGAGGATGGCCGGTCTTGTGCGCTTGGCACAAGACGACTGCAAGGAGTCGGAGGCGAGGCTCAAGGAAGCTGTAGGGGACTCGGGTGGTTCACCGTCGGCTCCTCATACCTGCACGGAACTGGCGGACGCGCAGGGCAAGGTGACATCGCGTACAAGTACACGTTGTTCATTTCCCGCGTTGCGAATGGCACGTAGCGTTTCATTGTGTTGCCTGCCCGCGTCCCGGTCTACCCGTGCCGATGTTGTTCTCCCCGTCACCGCTTCCCGGTTCTCTCCGTTGCCTATACCGTTGCCACGGCGTTGAAAAATATGCCAACGTCCGAACTCCAGGCGCAAGAGCAGCTCGGGCGGAGGCAGGCCGCTTAAAGATGTATAACGGGCACGTACTTCGTGAGTGTCGACCTTCATTCGTAGGTAGCGGTGCGGCGCAGAGGTGTGCCTCAACGCGCGTTACTCCAGACCGACGTTCCATCCGTTCTTTGCCCCATTTTGTGCCGACCGTTGGAATTCGAGGCATTGTTGGGATGTGTTACGGTAGCCGACAGGGAGTTAGAGGCCGATTGCAATTAGTTAGGCAGACCGACCTAACGAGAACTGGAAGGCGTAGGGACCTTCTGACAGTTTTGGAAATCCTGAGTGAAATGCTTCTTCCTACGGTATGGCGTTGACGTTTACCCGATGCGAAGTTTCTACGGCGTCCGCAGACCCCGCTGGCTTCCGCGGCGGAGGTAACCGCGTTGGAGAAGGAGTGCTTCAACAAGCGGCAGGTGGGTCTTTGGGGCTCGGGTGTCGAAGAAGTGGACACCCCCTCGCTAGCTGATGATGGACACCACCCCCCCCTCTAGCGAATGATGATGGATACCACCCCCCTCTCTACCTGGTGATGATGGACCGCCCCCCGTTCTTCTGTACGACGGGAAAATCACACGAGCCAGCCAGTGAACAGACGCACGAGCCTACTGCAGGTACTTTTGTGCAACCACCACAAAAAACTATTCCACATCCAACTCTAGTAGTTTTTTTTTGAAGAGAAGTGGGCCGATAGGGACGCTTCTTGTTTTGAAAAAAAAGCTATGTAGAGGGGGGGGGGCAAAACGGGCTCAAGTAAGTCTGTCTGTCTGTCTGTGACCAGCCTCGATATATAACCCAGCAGATTCCAGCTCATTTCACCATCTCGGCACCAAATTGCAATCTAAGACGTGTTCACAACAAGTAAGTAATATTTTGCCCGAGCTGCCCCAACTGCTACCTTTTCAATCCGTGCTCGGTGCGTCGAGATAGTGCAGCGTCGGTACCCAACTTGAAGCAGGGAAGTTTCTGGCCCCTTGCAACACCGAGAGGAGGCGTCGTTCGATTTTGAACCAAGCAAGACAGGTGGCCTCGCACACCACACACCACAAACACACAGAGCCAGACATGGACAAACAGGGAGAGAGACACAGACCACAGCGAGGGCGAGACGGCGGGAGAATGGTGTGCCACATACTGCTGCTTGCTGCTGTTAGCTATCGGCGGAGGAAGCGAGAGGAGAGGTCAACATTTGGTTGCAGCAGCCGCAGCAGCACAGCAGCGGCCTCTCTCTTTCCGCGGAGAGGGGCACATAACACCAGCAACACACAGACAGACGCTGCTACGCACCACCATTGGTGCGACATGTACTGCTGTACGCTTCTCTCTCTACACTTTCGTGCGCGAAGGCCTAGGTTAGTGTGCGACCAGTGCCTCCCGTGCTAGCCTGGTTACTACCCGTCACACGCACGCACGCTTGATTGAACGCTTTTTTTGAGATTTCTCGATCAAAGCTCGAACCAACAACAAGCTAACAAGCACAACAAACAGCAGACATTTTTTTTTTTTTTCGCTGCTAGCCCTATTTTTTAATATTCCACACCCCTCCCTCCCTCCCGGAGTCACATTGATTGGCGCCCCCCACACCGCAATCAATAAATTGAAATAATACTGCTTGCTGTGTAGTAAACGGGCCAACGGTAGCAACGCACAAGCCTACTGCAGGTACGTTTTTCAACAAAAAACTATTCCACCTCCCGATCTAGTATGTATGTATGCATTCCCCGCTGAAACCCGCGGCGTTATTTTTTGTGTACTTATTTTTTGCTTTCCTATAGGGGCCAACAACATGTCACGCACATGTTGTTGCCTTTTTTTTGCTTTGCACGAACCACGCACCACACACAGTAGTGAGTGCAGAAGTAGCGACGCACAGACAGCAGAAGTAGCGAGCGGTCTGCTGCTGCAGCTGCAACTGAACTGGGTGTTGGTATGGATAGGTTCCTCCCATCCATCTACCGACGGTCCATCTGATGCCGCCAAAAAAGAGTCGTGCATAACCTCGTCATACCTCACCGAGGGCGAGGGTATCTCTCGCTTGGAACCTAAAGAAAGTCGGTTCGAGCCTCAATCCCTTCTGTTGGGTCGAAGTACCGGCCCAAGTCGACCATTTTCTTCGGAAATGGCATTCCTTCTTCCTTTGGACTGTCGCATCCTCCCGATTCTCTTGTTCCTCATGAGAGGTGGTGGAGCGTGCCATCAAACCCGTACAACAGCGGAGAGCATATATATATTCATATATATATATATATATATATATGGCTGTCCGCGATGTGTGGCAGTACTACAGTAGTAGTACAGCACTCACTGTGAAGAGCAGGGGCGCGGGGGGGGGGTGCGGGGGACCCTGCCCCCTAGAAAAATGTACTTACTTCGGTTCAGCTTGGGAGGGGGTTGGGAGCACCGCAGACTTCTGATGTCATGGGGGTATCGCACCATCATTTTTGCTTCTTATTGGGGCGCTTCTTGAGTTAGTTGTGGCCGAGATTGAGCTATTTTTCTTAATTAAGCCCTTTTTTCTCATTTTTCGTACAAACAAATCTGATTGATGAGCCTTTTTTCTTCACAGAATTTTTTAACTGCGGGCGCTATCTATCTGTATTTGTACGCGAAGGGAAGGGGTGGTGAGTACCGTGAGACGCATTACCTTCTTTCGAAGACCGTTCATTCGTTTACTCTTGAAACTCAACAGAGCCGTAGAGCCAAGCCGCCGGGGGAGGTTCAGGGAACTCTTCGCTATACAGTCGACCCCGCTGTAAGGACGCTCTCGGCAACGAAAATGATTTTCGTTTTTGCTCAGCACCAGGGGGCCCGTCCGAAGATACGATAATGGGGGTACCATATTTTTTCTGCCGCGTACCCCCCTTTCTTGTGTCCTGCGGGCCTGCGGGCCGCTCTTTGCACGAAACACGCACCACAGTGAGTGTAGAAGTAGCCACGCGCAGACAGCAGAATTAGCGAGCGGTCTGCTGCTGCATGCAGCTGCAACTGGGTGTTGGTATGGATAGATTCCTCCCATCTACCGGCGGTCCATCTGATGCCGCCAAAGAAAAAGTCGTTCTCAACCTCGTCCCTTACCGAGGGCGAGGATATCTCTCGCTTGGAGGACGTTCGATCCTACAGATAGCGCCCGCGGGTAAGTAAGAAACGTCAAAATCGGATCGAGCCTCTATCAATCCCTTCTTTTGGGTCGAAGTACCGTCCATTTTCGTAAATAACATTCTTCTTCCTTTGGACTGCTGTTGCATCCTCCCGATTCACTTACGTTTATTATTATTATTATTATTATTATTATTATTATTATTATTATTATTATTATTATTATTATTATTATTATTATTATTATTATTATTATTATTATTATTATTATTATTATTATTATTATTATTATTATTATTATTATTATTATTATTATTATTATTTATTTAATTTTTTGCCTTCCGACAATTGCCGATGTACCTCAGAAAACATTCACTTAATGTCTCATACTCTACATGAATATTAAACCAATACGAAGTACAACAACATATGTAGGACTTATTTCTACTGTCATTTACATCGTAAAAATATCTCCTCTTCAATTTGAAATAAAACCAATGACAATCCTGATGGTATCCTATATGCGTTCGTAAGCTTGCTAAAATACTACTGCGTTGATGTCCTCTTGTAAAAAAAGCATAATAAAATAATAATAATAATAATAATAATTATTATTATTATTATTTTATATATTATTATTTTATTTATTTATTTTTTGCCTTCCGACAATTGCAGATGTACTTTGGGTAGGTGGTGGTCAAAGATGGGAGTCGCAACCGTGAAAAATGAGCTGGCAAACTGAAGAAATCGCAAGCAAAACACCCAGGTTGCGACAAACAGGGTTTTCGCCTGATTGAGGGCGGAGTATACGATTGAGAGCGGGAGCCAAAAATATTGAAATTTCGGGTCCAGACGCCTCTTGCCATTTCTTGGGAAGTAGGGGGCGGGCTCTTCCAAGAAGCGGCGCAAATTGAAGGTCTCATCAGCAGCGTCACGAGCATATGCGTGTCATCGCGATCGGATGCTGCAGCTAGGAGCTAGACAAGTTGCTAGATTTCCCCAGATTGGCTATTCCTGCCTCAAACTGTTTCAGGGCGATTTGATCGCGGGCGGTGGGCTCTGCTGTAGCTTCTGCTCCCCGCTGTAGCTCCACAACGAGAGACGCCCACAGGATGACCAGGGTATCGGCTTGTAGCTACGGGCTAGGCCTTCAATTCAAGTCACGCAGCAAGCTCCACCTCTCAGCGGTAGTCCAGCTACAGCGCATCGCGCAATCTCGCTCTCAATCAGAAACTTCGCTCTCAATCACACGAAAACCTTGTGGACACTCTGCCCTGCGCCTGTTGTTGAAAATTGAAAACAGCAGGCCGGGTGGATAGATATAATCTCTCTAAGTGTGTTGTGCTCTGTGTCGGGTGCTGCTCATTGCGCTTTTACCGCTGCTCTACGGTGAGCAACAACACCAAGTCAACCTGTTGTGTGCCGAGCAACGCGTGTATTCAGGGAAGGAAATAAATAAATGTACTTTTTGCATGACTAACTAGCGAAAAAATGTCGGGTTATCTTTTTTTTCACCGTTCCGTGGAAAATTGCACGACTGTTCCGTTGCGTTAATAACGAGCCTTAGACTACAACAAGTACTTCGTATTATTGTCTTGCGATCTCTGAGGACAATCAATCCACGTCATCACGCCCTCAAGAGAGGTGGTGGAAAGTGCCATCAAACCCGTACAACAGCGGAGAGCTTATGGTTGTCGGCGATGTGTGGCAGAAAGTACTTCAGTGTGAACAGCAAGGGCGCGGGGTGGGGGGGGGGGGACTCTGCCCCTTGCAAAAAGAAAAAAATGCACTTATGTTCAGCTTGGGAGGGGGCTGGGAGCACCGCAGATTTCTGATGTCATGGGCGTATCGCTCCATCATGTTTCTTATTGGGGCGTTTCTTACGTTGTGACCGAGATTGAGCTATGTTTCTTAGTCCTAGACTATTCATATTTTTCGTAAAAAAAAAATAGCCTTGTTTTTTAGAATATTTCTTAGCTGCGGGCGCCATTACATCTATCTGTATTTTTTGTTGTACGCGAAGGGAAGCGGTGGCGAGTACCGTGAGACGCAGTGCTTTCTTTCGAAGACCGTTTTTTCATTTACTCATGAAACTCAACAGAGCCGTAGAGCCAAGCCACGGGGGGAGGGTCAGGGAACTCTTCGCGATATATATATGTGGAAGGAAAAGCCATCCAGGTAGTAGTAGCTTTTAGTCTCCGCCGGGACAGTGATTGATATGTACTTACTACCTCGGTGCGACGCTGGAATGAATACGCTCATTTTTTTGTTTTACAAGAATGAGATAAAACAATAAGTCTACTGGGACTTTCCTC